ATGCCTGTTGCTTGGTAACATTTCACTTGAGCCTGACCTTCCCCGAAAGTTATTGCTATCAGATTAGCTTTACACTGTCCTCCTGTGATTACTGTAATCTTTTAAACCCGGGAGTTCATCCATCAGGGAAAAGACGAGTTGGTTGTGTAAGTCGAGAGCACGGCTATCCTGCCAGATTTATAACCCAGAGGGGTGTGTTAGGTGGGGGGAGGTTCTGTCCTGGATGGCAGTGGAACTCTGTGGTTCCCAGACGTGGAAAACGCTCCCGTTTTCCTGTCCACCCTGTGCTCAGATCCACAAGATGGACACCAGCGCCTCTCCGAGCCGGCCGGGGGCGGGGGGGGTAGCTCGGGCTCCACAGGGAGAAAGAGGCTGGGAGACCCGCCAGAGCTACGCCCACCCCGAGGGGCGCCCCCGAGGACTTTAGGGCTGGGCCCGCCCCGGAAGCCTAGGGTTGCCAGATAAAATAGCAGGATGCCCAGTTAAACCTGCACTTAGCAAAAATCACAATGTTTCAGTACAAGTGTGCCCCATACAATATTTGATATCCCTTTTTTGTGTTTATTTGCAGGTTTTTTGCTAAATCGGGCAACCAACCGAACAGGCGGGGTCTAACCCAGCCCACGGGGCTGAGCGCGAGTGGAAGGTGGTGCCGCGAGAATTGGGTGCAAGAGAACAGTGGTACAGGGCGGCCGCAGGGGAGCCGCGAGCGCGCTGCTGCCACCGCACGGGCCTCTCCCGGCGTCCCATCCATCCCTGACCCGGCCCGGGGTCCCTGAGCCGCCGCCCCGCACTTCCACTCGCTGCGCTCTCGGCTGCGCCGGGGCCCAAGAAGCCGGTCCGTAACTCGGCAACTCGCTGGGCGCCGGTGGGAAAGGCCCGGAAGCTGTGAGCAGCCCGGCGTCCGCCCTCCAGAGCCAGCCGTGGGTAAGGTTTAGGAGAAGACCAGTGCGGTCTCGCTTCTTCCTTTTCGTTTGGTTGGTTTTTGCTTTTTAAAATGCAACTCTGAGTCAGGCCCCTCGGCCCAAATAAAAGCGTCTGAAATACCCAGACCCTGTTTTAAATTCGTAGCTACCCTTCATGAGTGACTCTGAGGTCTCTCCCACTTTTCCTTTGCTTCAGCCTCTAGCCGTGGAGAATTTCCCATCCTTGCCTGGACCGGTGTTCTGGCAACATTCATCCATGCAGGTGCGTGTCTCTTTTTTTAAAAAATTAAAGTAAAATTTAAAACTAGGAAGCTGACCAGACAGGACCTAATCAAGCTGGAGCTGAAAAGCCCAGAGCAAGCATAAAGATGCTAGGAGGTGCCGGCCAGGAGGTCAAATCAAATAAAGGCAGTTTTCCAAAATCTCCCAACTCCCTTCCTGTAGGTCTCTTGTTCTCTCCATTTCAGGAGACATAAACAAGAAAGGAGACCCTACTTTCCTAGTTAATCCTGCTCTCTTACCCCTAATCAAATAGGATGTTTTAGATTTCTTTTCCTTTAAGGAATTTTTTAACAACTTGTTTACGTATTTATTTCGATGGCAGATGTAAACCTAGGAAGCACCTGTAGCCACAGCCCTCTCCTCTGGCAGCCTGAGGAGACCCCGGCCACTCTCCTGGAGCAAGGGTAGGGTGTGGGGGAGGAAGCCAAACAGAGGAATGTAACTTCAGCCTCTCACCTTGGTCGTGACCCCTAACTTTCCTCAGCTCTACAGCCCAGGCCCTGAAAGGCTGGCTTGGCTGGTTGAGGCTGCTGACTCAGATACTCTAAGAGCTGAAAGGTGTTCAAGCTTCCCAAGGTATTTTCCTGACGGGAAGGAGGGGGGGAGTGAAGAGGAAATGAAAGAGAAACGCATCAATAGGGTAGATTTAAAGGAGCTTAGACTAGAATTTGGGGCTCAATCAAAATCTAGTAATTCCAGGCCAGTCGTCGATGATAATCTAGGAGCAGGGGAAATGTACACCCAAAACGGAAAAAAAAAAAAAAAAAAGCTTTAATCCATTGCTAGAAGTTACAACCTGAGAACATGAAAATTCTCCTTACAACCACCTCCACATTAAAAGGGATGTTAAACATGATACACAGTTAGATAAAACAATCCCTGTTCCTTTAAAGAATCGGAAGCAGAATTGGGGAAGGAAATTTATTCCACCTACAAAACTGAGTCTTGGTATTAATGTGGCTCCCTGAACTGGGTGTTTTTTTCTCCAGCGGTGCCCAGCAAACATTCCCTTCTCTAGGGTGTGTACTTTTCACAAGGATTTCTGGAGAGGGGGAAAGACTCTGTGTGTTTGTGCACTTGCATTTGGAGCCAACAAAAAAAGCAAATGTCTCCACAGCTATGTACTAAAGAGACCAACCATGTTTTTGACACTGAAATCACAAAGAAACAAATCTCCATAAACCGCCAGGAGATATTTAGAGATTCCTAATGGTCTGTGAACTTACTGTACATGTAACTTACTACCATTCAAACAGAGCTTCACTTACTTCTCTACATAGTGAGCTACTTGCCAAGGACCGTATCTGACAAGCTTCTCAATACGCCTGGTATGTTACATACAAATGCATCATAAGAACAACTGCCAAAAAAGGAAAAATCCATACAGTCCCATTCAGGCCGTTTTCCCTAACTTAAAACCCAAATGGGCTTTCTCTGTACAAAGCATTGCATAGAACCGATCCACTTGTATACTTGCCTTCCTAATGGAAAACAATTATCTATTCCTTTCCTGCCCTCTCTCGCCATCATCGGATTGGTGACTGGCTTTTTGTTGGTGTTGAATGGAATTATGGGGCCCGAACCAATTGAAAGCAGAAAACAAAAGTTACATAATAAATGTGCAACGTATGCATTAGGACCTGAGCATTTGATCCCTGATAGTTTAGGCCCCCAAAGCCATCACTCTGACCTTTTCTAGTGGTAAATCCTATTCTCCTTTGCAATTACTTGTTTTCATTTTGAAAGGCTCAGGTCATCCCAGAACACTTAGTTCTGAGTAAAAGAGAGGGCACCAGGTCTGGTTTGTCCAGTTGCCGTCTCCGTCTCCTATTCTCCCCAAGCATGTATCCTTCTGCTACTGAGGCTGCTGCTTGGCCTTTCTGCCTGGCCCTCACTCCCCGCCTCCCAGGGTTATTTTTGGTTTTGTGACTCTATAGAAAGCATGAACTCTGGCTATCCCCAAGAATGATTAGAACAGCACACAATGTGAAGAGAATCCCCTCTTGGACAGGGACTCCAGAACCCAAAGCACTATTACACGGGTGCTGCTTGGGCAGGTGGCCACTGCAAGATGCTACCACTGTCACAAACTCAAAACTCCCGACCTAGTGTTGGGGGAAATGGAGACAGAGAAACTGGAAATGGAAAGGTTAAGAAAAGTTACTGGCATGGAGAACTGAGACAAAACTCTCCTAGTTACCTGCTCTAACTTAAAGGAGAAAAACAAAAAGAATATCCTTTCCCCGCCCCCCTCCTATTCCTCTGTGACAAACCTATAAGTATGAAGAGATCACACTGACAAAAGAGAGTCAACTGGGAGTGGGCGGACATTACTCAGGGAAATGCTTATATTCTACCTTGGATTAAACATCCACAAAATCCATGTTCAGTAAACTCACTTCTGTCCTTAAAATACGCAGTTCTGCTCTTCCCATAAGATGTTCTCAGAGCTTCAGGTCTGGACAGCATAACGGAGCAACAGGGCAGCAGGACTGCACCTTCCAGGCTGCCTACCAACTCACCCCAAATGTTTCCCTGGCTCCACACAGCAGTGCAGTGCTGCTGAAAGCCTCTCTCCAAGAGCCAGAGGTACAGTCTTTTTTGGGGTGGGGGGAGACTGGGGGTAGGCAGAAGCTCTACCATTAGTTCCGCCCACAGAAGAGCTTTGGGCCTTCCAGGGCTTTCCATCTCTGAATTCCAGCATACGCCTCAACCCCCTCCCTGAGAAGATGGGCTTTTTTCCTTTGTACATCTGCCCCAGTGAAAGGGAAAGACCAAACACCTGTCCACAGAATTCTACGAGCTTAAAATCAAAGGAGCCCTTGGGCTGGGCAGGATGGTAAACTAGACATTCTCCAGGAGGAAAGGCTCCACTGGGGTTTGCAAGGCTTTGGAGGCCTGAAGGAGGGAACCGGATGGAGAGGTGAGGGGAGGAATCTGCCCACCTCCAGGGCTCAGAGCAGACCCATGCTCTCTAAAGCACAGCAGAGGAGGAGAGGGGAGAGGAGAGGACAGGAGGAGGCCCAGGCCCACCTAGAACTGGGGAAAGGACTCTCCAGGGCTGGCCTTCCTCACTGTAGGTCGTTTTGTTTCTGTTTCTTTAAGGCCACGGTGACTGCTGAGGGCTGCCTGCCGGAATGGTGTTAAAGGACCTGAGCAATTCTGCAAAAGGAGTTGGTTGACTCTGGGCGCACTAGATTCTGAGTCCCCACTAACAGTGTGGGGGCCTTTCTGGCCCTTGTTTACTACTGCTTCTAAATAGGGCTTCTTTCAACAGACTGCAAGAGGCTGGAGGCCACAGAAGGCTACTTGAAAGGCTTCGGGTTCGCTCATATTCCCCGGGGGCCGAGAAAAACACCCAGAGTCATCCAAGCCTTGGGCCTTGGCTCCTGCCTTGCACCTACCCATCCCAACCTCCAAATGCGAGGCCCTCTAAAGCCTGCGGCAAGAAAGCCCGGCCGCACTGTGGTGTGTGCCCACGCGGATTTGAATTTGGTCCTGCCTCGACCTCTTTATTTACCCGTCCCCCTTTAACCTGGGGAAGGCACTTGGCGAGCCCGAGGCGCCTTTCCCGTGGGCGCCCGGGTTCACCTCCTACCTCGCCGGGTCCAGACCGAAGATCGCTTCTGCCGAGAGAGTAAGGACCGGCTCGGCTGGAGTTGGGGCGGAAGGCCGGGCCGGGCCATCTTCCCACAAATTCGCCTCCGAGCCTCCCAGCCAAAGCAGCAATAGCCGCTTGGAAGTGTTTTCGCCCACGCGCGGGGCCCACTGGGGCCCCGCAGCTGCTCTTACCTGGCTTGGCGAGCTGCGCCTGCAGCGCCCCAGGCTGGGGCTCCGCGGCCCAGCGCAGCGCGGCGGCAGCAGCCAACTCCACAGCGGGGCGCGGCGGCGGCGGTGGCTGAGACGGCTGCGAGGTCGGCGGCGGCGGGGCAGAGGTGGCGTCTCCCGGCGGCGGGGGTCCCGGCAGGGAGCGCAGCGAGTCGGGGATGAGGCTCTCGAGGCTCTCGTTGGCCTGCTGCCTGCGCAGCGCCACCTGCGCCGCCATGACCCGCTGCCGCTCGATGATAAGGATGCACTTCTCACAGGTGCAGTCTTTGAAGCGGCAGTAGCGTTTGTGGCCCTTGAGCCAGGACAGCACGCCGTGGTTGCGGCAGCGCGCGCACTTGGGCGTGCGCTGCAAGGGCGCCCGCGGCGGCTGCGACACGGGGCCGCCCATGTACAGGTAGGGAGAGCCGTAGCCGTTCATGCCCCGGGCTCCCGGAAGAGCTGGCGGGCTGGCGGCGGGAGCGAGTCAGGGGGCGCTGGACGACGGGTTGGGAGGCCCGCTCAGGGGCGGCCTCCGGGCGGCGCAGTCTTTGGTCCAGCAGTCCCCGCGGCCGCGTGTGCTCCGGGATGGCCGGAGGGGCTGCAGCCGTGTTTACGGCTCCCGCGGCGCTCACAGCCTCAGCCTCCCGACTGGCGCTCCACCAATCTCACGCCGGTCGCGTCTCCGCCTGCCGCTACTTTGGCCGGCACGTCCTCCCTCGCCGAGGCGCTGCGGCGGCTGCCAGGAGCCGGCGAGAGCTCTGATTGTGGTCTGAGCCAGCTCGTCTGCAGCTCCCGCGCGCGCAGGCCGGGCCCGGCACTTCCTCCGCCGCCCTCCCCCTACTCCTCGTCCCTCCCACCGCCACCCCCACCCCCACCCTCGAGGTCCAGGTCTCCTTGCATTCCCCACCCCACTCCACGTCTGCCTCCTTCCTTTCCGCTCGGGCCCTTCGATTCCCTGCACTTCACCTTCCTTGCCATCCGCCGTCGGGCCACTCTCACGGGGGCGCTCAAGGCCCCCTCCTCCAAGCTCTCTGTGCTTCCCCTGCCCGCGGCGGGCGGGACTGCGGCGCTCCGGGACGCGGCGGTGCACGCGGGGCGGGGAAGGGAGGACCAGCGCGGGTGAGGGTGGAGGTGCCCTTCGCTCTCTTCCCTTCCCTCCAGGCCTGATTTGGCGGTACCGAGCCCAAGGCCGCTTTCATTCCCACCCTTGGCCACAGAAACACAGCTCCGCGAGAACCGGAGCCTACCAGAGCCCTGCGGGTGCACTTGGTTCCCGGAGTGAGCCGAGAGGGTTTTAAGTTGGGGGGAGCCAGGCCCCGCGGCCACTGGCGGGAGGAGTTGGGGGCAGGGCATTGGAATTGGTTCGAGAAATGTTGGCTTTCTTTATTTCCTTTTGCAACATTTTTTTCTTTTGCTGCTGTAGAAGAAAATGATTGATTTTGAAAACCTGCTGGCCCAAGGATGACGACCCATTTTGCAGGCTATTTCAAAGGAAAAAACTGTCCTCTCTCTCTGGTGCAGAGTTTCTCTACCCTCCTCCCCACGTTTTAATTTTAAAAAGTCTCTGTGCTGAAAAGCCGGGAAGCGCTCTTATGGGGGATTTGCTTAAGTATTGGGTCTATAAACTTTCAGAGAGCGGACGCAGGAACCACGCTAGCGCCCCCAAAGTTACCGCATATGATCTCCTCCCTGCCCAATGGCATTTGAGCGATAAACGGAGGTCTCGCGTGCCCCAATTCAAATGCCCACGGACTCAGCAATCTAGTTATGGAAAGGGATGGGGCCACACACACCCCCAGTGTCTTTGGGTAGGGGTGGGGGAGAGCCCTTGCACAAGATGACAGCATAAAACTTTGTTGAAATAGTTATTTGCGTGTTTCTAGTCCCCTAAGAGTACCGATTTGGCCTAAGGCAGACTACCACCACAAATGCACGGAGTCTCTCCCGCAGTGCAAGAAAACAAAAATAAAAAGCAGGTGGTTACAGCGACGCAGGGTAGCACAATGGCTCAGTGCGAAGGGGGGTAGAATGCAGTCCCGGAGCCGTCTGCCGGCAAGCTCCAGACAGCGCTCTCTGAACTCAGCTCTTGTAGGTCTGGGCGAATCGAATGCGAAACCGGGGCGTATACGAGTTTGCTGCAATGGCCAACCGTTTGGCGGCACAGCTGCCCTTGTCCTCTCAGCTTTTCTCTGCACTGCCCTGGAAGCAAACAAGCAACCCGAAAACGTCCCACTGTGTTTGCTGTGAATTCAAGTAGCACCAGGCGTTCTAGCAGCCAACCCTCCGTTTAGAAGGGTGATTCCGGGAGGGGAGCAGGTTAAAAAGGGAACCTGCTTGTGTGTGTTTCCCTTGAAGCCCTTGACTGCCCCCCACCTCCCCCGTTTCAGACCTGCGGACCTGGTAGGGCGCGATAAGGAAACCCTAGCCCGAGAGGGCTAACCCTGGGAGGCCTGCCTCCAAAGCTGCTTCGGGAACAGACCCCTTAGTCTTGCCCCTAACCCACCGCCTCATGGATCTCTCCTCCCAAGCTTCAAGAAGAAAACAAGCCTTAAAAACACTACAACTGTGAGGAACTTCATAAACTCTCCAAACTGGAGGCCTAGGTGACCTGCAGCCCCGCGGGCCAGAGGCCCTGAAGTGGGGAGTTGACAGCGAGTCACTTCACTTAAGGAGAGACTTACAGGGCCTAGAAAGACACTGAATCTGGGAACTTTCGCGCTGAAATCTCCAGGTCTCTTGGGAATGCAGGGACCACGGACTGTTTTCAAAGCCAAATTTCTCCCGATTTTCTCCAAATGGTCAGGGAAACCAGGGAGTATAAGGAACTTGGGAGTAAAGAATTTTTTTAAAGGAAAGCAGCAGAGCTCTGCACCAGGTTTGGGGGATATTTCCACTACCAAGGCGACCCACTCTCCTCCCTCAGTCACCTAGCCACCCTATCCCTTTGCCACTCAAGCAGGACATCTTGCATTATTTGGTCCCAGGGCCCCGTTTCACTCCAGTGCACATTGGGGGCTGAGATCTAAATACTTATTTGATATAGCGCAATAATCCTTTTCTCATATTTGATGGGAATGTTTTCCATAACCCAGTATTTGACAACATCTCCCTATAGGGACAGGTTTGTATTTATGTTGGTAAAATGTCCCCTGCCTCAAAGTCTATTGTAACCCAACACCTGACAACCCAGAGTCCCATTTCTGTTTGCAGAAAGGGTTTATTCAAGCACATAATGGGATCCCAGCAGAAAGCCTTTCCGAACAAGGGGCTATGGTAAACTTCACCACATGAACTCCGTTTCCAGGGCTATTAAGCTTTTAATTGGAAAATAGCAGAGGAAATTTCAAGGTGACTATAACGTGTTAGCAGTTAGTGCAGAGAAGAAAAGCCGGAGCGGGGATGAATGTAGAAAGCATATGGTCCGAATCACATTTAGGAGGAGCAGCCTGCTTCTACCAAGTCCCAGCGGCTTGTACACTTATGGGAAAAACCATCAAAGAAACTGGAAAGGGAGGGGGGAGGATTACAAGTAAGTGTAACCTCACTAGACCGGATCCACTCTCTCGTTCTGCGCTGGGTGGGGTGTGTGTGTCTGCATGTGCACGTGTGTGTTCAAACCACAATTAACTGGATAGAATTGTGATAGGTATTAACAGCGACAGGGTGAAAGGTAGTGTGCATGTGTGGTTCTCTTTCTCTTGACGCACACACAATCTATATATGTACGTACGTATAAGTCGGAGTGCAGGTGCCGGTGCTGAGAAACCGAAGATGTCCTGACTGGACGCTCATGACCGCAATCAACACTTAATCAAAAGGACAGTTTCATATTGTCCCGGATGTATAATACATCAGGAAATTTTCTGCTTTGCTGGATTCTCATGGAGGGGAGGTCAAGGTTCCTATTCTGCTGTTTAAAACGCGACCACGGTGACACTGGAGGCCGGGGCATGCAGAAAGCCCTTTTATTTTACTTATTTTTTAGAAATCCCTTTTAAAGCAGGAAAACGAGCTCCCTCTCCCCACGCATGAATTTTTCAGCTCTTACCCTGTCCGTGCCTCTTCGGCATCACTCATTGGCCAGCTTCACATCGAAAGGGGGGAACAAATGTCTAGCGAGGCGCTGGGGCCACCAGGAATCGATTTTTTGGGGTGACAATAATGCCCTTCCACATTTGGGAGAGACTCGTGTGCACCCCCATGGCATCCCCGAAGCCGCCCTCTGGGGCTCAGGACAGAGGGTAGAGACCTTGCGACCGGGGAGTCACTGAACCTGCGTCTGGCGGCCGGGGGACACAGCTGGTGTGAAGGAACATCCTGGACGGTCACGTCCCCACACCATTTTGGCATCGGGGCCGAGGCTTTTCGGAGCAAACGGGACCTAAAACGGCCTTCAACCCCGGCGGCCCCCTGCAGACGCGGCTGCGCGGTCGTTCATATTCTAGAACTCTCGAGACCAGCAACAGCTCACCCTGGAGGTAGGCACTCCCACGGGTGCAGATTACTCAGACCTAGACTAGACACGAGGTCGCGCCCGCCCCCATCCTTTGCTGTGGCTGCACGGGTGTCGCTCCCGCACTGCAACATCTGAGGGGGGCCCTGAACGGCGACCTCCGCCCCGCGCTGTCGAAGGGAGGGACTGGGAAAGGGCGCGCTAGGAGCGCTCCCACTGGGCCAGGGCCGCGGGGCCCGCAAGCGCCCGGGGCTTCCTGGGCCGAGTCGCGCACACCCCGCCGGGCATGGGGGACTGGAGGCGGCGGTCAAGTCCCTACACGGTTTTAAAGAGGGTCGCCTGGGCGGCCTGCAGACCCCGTCTACCTTCGGTGCCAACGGAAAAAGTAAAACATGTACCCTCCGAGATGAAATGAGAGCAGCGCTGCCTTTAAAATAGTTTTAACGTAATCTTTCTCCTGTGACTTTAAAAACCAAAAAAGGCCGAGGAAATAATTTCAGGTAATTTAGAGAAACATTCTAGAAACAAGAGTTTCTGTTCCCCAAAGTGTTTGCTCTGGGGGCGCTGGTGCAGTTCGCAGGACAAGCCCCCTTTCCGGAACTCTCTTCCGCCTCCCCGCTCCTCTGCAGTCCCGGAAAAAAGCTCTGCTGGGGAGAATGTGGGCGGAGGTGAGGACTTCCAAGGAAGAAGTCCCTTCTCGATTCGACGGACCCGGGAATAAAGGGGGGAAACGGCCAGCGCTGCCCACACCCCAGGGAAAGTTGGGTGCGAACTCCTTGTACCGAGACCAGATCGGCAGGACAGTGACGCAGCAACGCCGAGGCGCTGCGCGGGCACTCTAAAGCACCCCACCCCGGGGACCCAGGCCAAGACAGCTCACTGCGCCCAAGCCAGAGCCTCCCGGGGTGGGGGGGCGACTTCCGGAGCAGTTAGGCCGCGCCCACTCTGCGCCCCCACCCCCAAGCCCTGCTCGCCCCGCCCCTTCGCCCACGACCCTCACCAGCTGTCTGGGCCGCAGCTTAGAGCTGCTGAAAGTTTGCAGGCTCTTTTGCGGAGGGTGGGGGAAGGTACTCAACGAACAACTGGCTGACTAAAGGTCGTTCGCGTTTTTTGAGGGGTAGGGGGGAAAGGCGTCTTCTCAAGGCGAGAATCAAGAGTGGCGACTGAGCTTACGGGCGTCCGGCGCGCAGCACAGGTCTCAGGCCTCCTCCGCGTGCGTATGCGCGGAGGGAGAAAGGAGGACGAGGCCCCGTGCAAGTTGCCGGAGCAAACCTCCCAAAGGGGCGGCGGCGGCGCGCAGGCAGGCAGTGGCGGCCCCAACCGGCGGGGCGGACAGGGCCAAGTCCGGGAGCCGAGGAAAATCCCCTGCCTTCCACGGGCTGCCCTCTGTATTTCTTTGTGACACGAAGCGCGTTCTGTAAAGCGCTTTTACCACCACTTGGTGCCAAGTGTCAGATGCGGTGCAGTCTGTGTGCACGTGAAGCCAGTTCAGCACTGCGGTTACCGTGAAGCGAGGGGCGGGAGCTCGATTTCTACACGTGGGCGAGAGTTTAATTTGCACGAGGTGCCCGGGAGACGGCAGTGCCGGCTCCCGCCCCTGCCCGGAATGGCGGTTCCCTGCGTGGGCTCTGGGGGGAAGCGAGTGTCACCAAGAGCGCCCTGGGCCCCGCAGGCGGCTTTCCCCGAGACCCTAGTTACGCAGCGCGGGGTCTGCAGCACATTAATGGGGTGAAGGGGACACCCGAGTGAGCGCAGGTCCCGGGAGCGGCGTCCGCTGGAAGGGGGGAAAACTCGCCCTCACCCCCAGCCACTGCGGGAGTCGCAGGCGGTCTTGGGGAGCTTCGTCTGCCCACAGCTCCAAGTCGCTTCCGTGGCGGAAGCTTGCCCGGAGTCCGGGAGAAGACCCGGCGAGCCCGCCTCGGTCTCTCGACGCCGGAGCCACGGCGCCCGCAAGAGGCGAGCACTGGGCGCCCGACACGCCCACACCTGCACACACTTGTGGTGCGCACTCCACATCGCACACACTGCGGGTGCCGCCCGCAGGGGGACGCGGCCTTGTTACAGGTGTCCGTTCAAAGGCGCAGAGCTGAGAAACTTATAGCCCCTCAAACGCGGGTGTTAACATTCAGCAGACAAGACTTGCTGTCTGTGCTCTTCCTTGTGTTCAGAATTTTAAGCTCCTGACGCAGTCCGCTTGGGCTTGGCCTGACTGGCGCTCTCCTCCCTAGCGGTCAAGAATAAGCCCCCTGTTGGAAACCTGAGCGTCGCAGGGCCACTCCACCCCACCAGGCGCGGGAGGAAGACCGCAGGTCCCTCTTTAACGGAGCCATTCGGCGGAGAAGAGAGAAGCAGCCGAAGCTTCCCTCAACTCCGCCTGGGCCCGTTGAGGTCCTGGGGTCTGTGTCCTCGCGCTGGGAGTAGCCCTTCTTGGACAGAATCTTCGATAAGAGTCCCCGCGCGGCGGGCGCCCGAATTCAGAACCAAACTCGGCGTCAGGAGAAGCAGTGGACCCTCGGAGCGTAGGAGGCCCACTAAACAAGCCTGGTTCCCAGGGCTCCGACGGCCCAGAGTGGAGCTCCGGGCCGCAGTACGAGGCCGGGAGGCGCAGGGCCTTCGAAACTGGAGCCCGGGCTCACCAGGGACCCAGGGGGTGCTCGGTCAGGGCTCTGAGAGCACACACGCGCGCTTTTCCGGGCTCCGCCTGGCTTTCCAGAAACGCAGGGGCACTGAAGGGAGCTGTGCTGGGAGAGGGCACACACGCACACACACCCGTTGAAGGGGCGTGCCGAGCTTCTCCATCAAACACACCCGGCAAAATTAGTGTGTTGGGGTCATCTTGGAACAGTAGGAACTGGAAGACTCCTGGATCCGCAGAAGCCAGGATTATTCAAAGAAATAGAGGGGGCCTGGGCAGTGGGCAGCGAGTGCGCAGGTGAGCAAGGAATCTTCATCTCCAAAAAGCCACCACTGACGCCTTGAAGGTGGGGAGTCTGCGGCCCAGTCCTTCCTGGCGCGCCCGGCAGCCACCGGAGTCGCCGTCACAATACCTACAGCTACAGCCGCCCCGAAGGGCACACGGCTGCAGTAGCAGCAGCCTGACAAGTGTGATAAAATGATCTTCCTTAACTAAACTCGTAAAGCACTGGGCAATAAAACTCAATCTTCTGTAAAATCCAATTAAGTCATTATCTGACTGATTGTATCTTTAATTGAAAACAGAAGTGACAGTAAATTTCTGTGATATATCAGGATCAATCGATACCGCTATACGATTCAGCCCCAAGAAGTGATTTATAATGTCAAACCTATATAGGTAACTCCACATTATTCTCTCTAAAACCACTGGTGGATGAAATTAAGAGTAAGTGCATTTAATAAAAAACAAGATGGTCAGGTTATTGATTACAACAGATGGGGGTGAAATCAAATAGATGTTTTCAAAGCACAGAGCGAAGAAAATACAAGTAATTTCTTTTTTCCTGTTTAATACCGCTCATCAAATATACACACAAGAAAATTCAGTCATCAATAACATTTTTATTTCAGGTACAGCCGCAACTACACAGAACAATGAATTTTTTTTAGACTAGTTTTATTTCAGGATGGCTTCTGTTACATAAGGAGTACACCACTAGCAATTTTTAACAAAAAATGAACTCAGAAATCTATAGTTACTTTTAAAGATGTACTTATCTTCAAATCAGATTACAACCTAAGGTTACAAAATAATCTAGATTGCATCCATTTTTTTTAATAGTAGAATGTGCATCATAAACTCTTACATTTTTCTAGAAACAACACTCAGGAACTCTGCATTACTAGGGTTACTTTAAATTGTATTGTTTTCAAACTACCCTTTAGAAAAGGTAGCAATTCTTAAAGTCATTAATTTTTTCTTCTGACTATTTCAGTCACGTTTTGGATTTGAGGGGATGGCGTCGGGGCTAGGCTTTTCTAACAGCAACACAAACACACACACTATTTCTATTTAACCTTCTGCAGATTTCTAACATAATCACTAACTCTGTTCTTTTCTTCTCACCAGTCAGGAACGTGGCTAAATTTATGGTTTAGCACTTTTATTAAAATACTAAAATTCAAGAAAAGATCTGAGGCACCTAAGATTTCATTTTAAAACTGAAAGTAGTTGACACATTTAGGTGCAAATGTACTGCTTTACTTGAGTGAATTATTGTATTTCTTGAAAACTACATGTAAACCAGTGTCATAAAAAAATGAGGAACACTAATATTTAACTCCGTGAGCAAAGCACTTAATTGGTGCAGACGGCAGACACAGATAGTAAACTATTCCAAATGTCTTCTAGCCTCTGGGCTAAGCTCTAAGGAGTATAAACCAAACATCTTCTCAACAGTTAAGCTGGTGTGAGTCAAGGCAAAATGTTAACAACAAACCCTGTGTATAAACGGAATAAACCTGCCACTCCAGGTGAATGGCCAAAGGCATCAGGGTGCCGGATTATTCGTCGTCCTCGATGACAGGAGTGACCGCAAAACTGCTGGGCTCCGAGGCAGACTCACATTCGAGCACTGCCTTTGAGCTGTCGTTACTAACAGAAGAGCTGGTGGAGAGGGAAACCAAGCCACAGTCTTGACTGCTGGGTGGCGAGAATACTGGGAAGTGGGGAGAGACAGAGGGAGAAGAGTGCGTTAAAAGTGGCTAGTCTTTCTACATTCACCGTGCAATTAGGTTCCAACAAAGAAAAAGGCGCTTTCTGCAATTTCTATTCGGAGTTGAAAGTGTTTTCATAGACATTCATTAAAATCCCCAGTGCTTCTTTAGAATAAAAAAGAGTATTTCTGCACAGTATTATCTATTTAATTGAAGAGGCAAGTTAAGTAGCAGAGTTTCAATTTCATGTTCATTAAAAACAAAAAACAGTCTTCTCCCCCCTCTTTGGGGATACTATTTCCACCCTTCACTGAGCCCCACCCCTTTATGTAAACGATGCTGATAGTTTGAGGAGTCTTGTCAAATGATCCATCTGACAAATTACCCCAAGCAAGACCCCACCCATGTATTTCCACCATTTGACAGGTAACCCTAGTTTCTCAGTAGCTAGCAAGTGAAAGCGATAGCTTATCAACTTTCCTGTTAGTTCTCTTGGACAGAGGGAAACAAACACTTGGGGGAAGGTGTACATACCTTTTTAAAAGCATACCTAACTTTTAAAAAGTCAAAAGCAGTAAATGGGAAGGAAACTTAAAAAAATCCAAAAATTAAAAGAAACTGAATTATACAACACTAAAACAGAAGTCAGGTAACGGTTTTAACAGCAAACCTATAAACATAAAACTCCACTAGGAATCTGACATTAAATATGAAGGATGCAAAAGTAATAATGTGTTGAACAATTTTTGCAACCTTACAAGCCACAGTAGATACAAAATTTAAGCAAAAGGGTCTCTGACCTTCTTAACCTTAGCTGAGTTTAGATCCACCCCCAGAACTCCCTTCCTGCCTAGTGTGAATGTAATTAAGGGGAAGCTGCAGTGGTAATTTCTCTCCTCATTAACTTCCTGATTGGTTTCAGCCTCAGGATTCTGCAGGGCAGTAGTTTGTCACCAATTCCAAATGGCCAATCGTTAATACTAATGTTTGTGTAACTAACTGCCAGCATCTGCCACGGCTTCTTGTACAACAATAATGGTGAAAGGGTACATTAGTGCCCCTGTGTTAATTCAGCTTGTGTTCATCAATAGGGAAATCTATGATGTAATTAGCAAAATGCATTGGGAGCTGAGCGCTGGTCATTTGTAGAGAACTAAATCATAGTAGAAGCTGTACTGGGTCCTGATGTGTTTGCCATCAATACTTATTATGTTTGGAATTTAATAAGGTATATTACCATGCTGAAAAGAGACCTTTTTACAACAGAACACTATTTACGCTTGTTATGGGTTTCGAGGTTTGCTGCAGCTAGTGGAACCACACAGAAATAAAAGAACAGAGCTGGGATTTAAGAAGCGGATCTTTAACCACTCCACTGGACCAAATTATCTGAGGAAGCCCCGTTCTTCTAATGTGACATATGGACAGACAGACAGACAGATGGACAGTTTAGGATAGCTACCTCAATATCCAGTTAGGAAAGGAATGTTCTGAAAACTTAGTAAGTTAAAAAATTTGAAAAACAGTGTAGGTAATTTCCTGACAAGCAATTTACTTTTTTTTTTTTTTTTTTCCGGTACGCGGGCCTCTCACTGCTGTGGCCTCTCCCGTTGCGGAGCACAGGCTCCGGACGCGCAGGCCCAGCGGCCATGGCTCACGGGCCCAGCCTCTCCGCGGCATGTGGGATCTTCCCGGACCGGGGCACGAACCCGTGTCCCCTACATCGGCAGGCGGACTCCCAACCACTGCGCCACCAGGGAAGCCCACAATTTACTTTTGATATTGGCAGTATGTGTTCAGATTTACTAAGTTAAACAAAAAGAGTACTAATTTGAACCTAGGAAGCCTGAAGCTTTCATTTTCTCACTGTTCATTAAGGCTTCTTACTAAATTTGAGTTGTTATATGGATTTAAATTTCCCTGCAAATCCAAGATAATTTATGAATTGTGTTACATGCCCAAGGATGTTATATCTACACAGAGAGCAGACTTTGCTCTGACATCTTGTGACTATACAAGGATATGGAGAGCCAACTAAGGGCCAACCAGAGTCTGTGCGTTAATCTGCCCACCCTCATCCCCATCTCAAGCCAGTGACAGAAGGTTCTCTGTACAGAAGAGATGGAGAAGGGAGTGAACATTTACTACTTCTTGTATGTCACCTACTTTAATGAGTATGTAAATTTAACCCTCAAACCATTCACTGAGAGAATTGTTCTCCCGTTTTTACAAAGGAGGCGCTGTGGAAGCTGCCAAGGGCGGTGCAACATTGGTCAGCCCCACCTCCTGGCTTGTTCTCACCCCTGCACCATCCCCACCCTTGGGTGTCACATTTAGTCACTGGCCACTGAACCGTCCTAATCTCTGTGTTAGTTTGAGGAGGTAAAATAACTGACCCTTGTCAACTTAATGCAGAGGCTATAAAGGAAAAGGCAAAGCATTCTCCAGACATGTTCTGAGCTTCTGCCTACAGTTAACAGCTGACCTAGGGATGCTCCCACCCCAGCCACAAACACCCTGCCTCCCCCATTCGGCCCAACTTGTGACTGAAAAAGGAAGGGGTGGGAATTCTGCAAAAGAAAGGACTTGGGGAGAGCCCCCCTTTTGCTCTCACTTGCCTTGTGGGTACTTTCTTGGAAAATATTCCTCTGACCTGAGGGTGTGAAGATGTGCGGAGGGTCACCTGCATAGACTAGGGAGGCTCCAAGCATACTTAATGCATGACTGCACTCCGGAGAAGATCCAGATAAATGAACTCAACCTGTTTTGCAAAATACCTGTATTTCTTAAAGCGTTTCTCCACTCAAAATTTAAATCCATGTTCATTTCACTTTTGTTAAAGGCTTCGCATCGTCTCTGAATGTTGAAGTTAGGGACAGTATCTGTTTAACTCATTTTGTGTAGCGCCTCATAAAAGCAGTTCCAAGTGCATCAAAGATTTAGTGTTTATCTTAGTGACTAATGTCCAAAATTTATTTTACTATCATCCTTAAAGATGAAGGTACCCTCTTCATTTAAATGCAGCTTCATCAAACTTTACTGGAGGGAAGAATAACCACCGATCATTTTAAATCATTTTATACCAATTAAAAATTAAAAAGCCAAAATTCTCTTTTTTTGCATGTTGATTCTAATGAGCCCTGAAGAAGGGCTAACTTCAACTCAAAAGGTTCCTCTTCATTATTCTGTAAAAATGCTAATGCCTACTGTCCACGGGACTGTGGGGAAAGATACGCTGTTGGTAGCACTAGAAATTGGTTCAGTCTTTCTGGACAGCAGCCTAGTGACATGTAATAAGAACTGTAAAACTGTTCATACCCTCTGACCTGGTAATTCCACTCTGGGGAATAAACCCAAAGAAAGAAAGAATAATTGGCCGGGCGATGCTCAACACACCACTATTTGCATGAGCTAGGACGTGAGTGCTTTGCTCCGGCGCTGGGGGGTGGGGTTTGGGGACGGGGGACAGGAAGCTTTCACAGGCAACAGACAATTCAGGATTATGCTACCCTGTAATCATCACTAGGCTCCCAGCATTTACAGAAATGGAAGAAATGACTTCTGGAGACCGAAGTAGAGATTTAAAAGCAAGAAAATGAAAAAAAAAAAAAAAAGGAAAAAGTGCCCATCTGATCTTTTTTCTTGTTACAACGAAAGGTGGGTAAACCTCTGAGGCTGACCCTGGTTTGAACCAGCAAACCCTGTATCTGTTTTCTCTCGACTAGCCTATTTGTCTACAGCAGCTAAATGGTCTTTCTTTTATTATTATTTTAAAACAAACAAAGAAACCTTACGTATAATCACTCTTACCAATGCTGAGGGGGAAAAAAAGATGATTTCAGTGATGCCATCTAACCACCAATATTCTTTTTGGAAAATATTATAGACTGTACCCCCCCCCCAAACCCACCTCTCTAAAAAACAAAACAAAACCCAACCTAACTGCTAAATCTTTTGACACTGCAAAGACCCCTGACTTTTAACTTGAATGATCTGTTAGGAGTCGGTGGACCGGAACGAACAATTCTCTTCCAGAGATGTGAGAAACAGGATATTCGTGCTTGAGAAAAAATTGTTCTTCCTCTAGATGTTAAACACTATTAAGCTCCCACTAAGAAACCATTTTAAAAATAAAAAATGCAAGTGGCATTCTTCAACTGTTAGCAACTCTTCACCTAGACACTGACAGGTCTCTTTGGTTTCCTCGAGTTTGCAAGCCTAAGAGTCTGATGAAAAGCTGATGAAAATGTCTTAAACAATGAATTCTTCCGCTTCATGATAACCATAGTGTTTGGAAATAAAATCATGTCCAATCAATACCACTTAGCAGATATTTGATGTTTCACAATAGGCTCTTTTCCAGAGTAGAACTGCTACCCTTCTCACTACCATTTAAAATAACTAGGATTATCTTAGCTGTCCGAAGCTTGGCAGGTTCAGCTTGTACTTTCAAACAGCATTAATTCTTGGCACTCAGAAGAAGGGATAAAAGGTAAAGATATGAATGGAGATCTTTATTCCACCTGATCTATCAAGGATTAGCTCATTCTTTTCCAGTCCATGCCTGCACGCTAGTGAAGAGGAAGGCTAAGCTGTAACTGATGTAATTAGAAACCACAAGCTGAGAATAAAATAGCCCTTTATTAATCGCCCCCATTTACTATAAATTTACCAAAAACATAATAATCTTTGAAACAATTAAATGTGTTTTTGTCCACCTGTGTGTAATCAAAAGCGTAGTGGCTAGAGAGAGAGTCTGGTTAGGATTACGCTTTCCCTGAAAACATTACCTTAATTGCCAGTCTAAAATCTAACAGCAGTTTTGAGAGGGGCCAGCTCAGCCCTGTGCACAGTGTAGGGAGAAGTGGCCAAGCCATCATAAAGGAGAGCTCCTGTGGATGGAAAGAGGCGCGTGATCAGTGCCTCCTCCTTGATCCTGCTGCCACAGCCTTGGCAAGCTCTAGGAAAAGCCATCTTACAGACAAGGTGAACCGATAACAGA